ATTTTCAAATGTTAGATTTAATTTAGCACAAACATTTGAGAACAAAATATAGTTTAATAATGTAGGATGTGGTAGAAACATTAGATGTACACACTTCACAAACAAAATTCATTATGGATATAGATGCACACACTTCGCAAACAAATAATTTCATTATGGATATTTGGTTGATGAAACCAAGCATTTCACACACCTTTGCCAACAGAAAGACAAAGCAAACAAAACAACAGAGATACCCTAACTGATACTTAACCGATATCCAGATTTATACATGATTACATTATGTCAGTACTTGCAACCATTACCAAAACATACTAACAGAAATCCTACACCACCACATTTTCGAAACCAGAATCCAAGTAGTTACAACCTTCACACTACTAAGCTGCAAGAGAGCTGGCCAAAATATTCACAAAGCAACAGTCTATTTCAGTTCACTGATACATCAAAGATCAACAGGATGATTGGGAAGACAAACATGCATCAAAGAAGTCCCCCAAAAGTTCCATGAAGAAGCCATCCAACACAACACCTTGAGAACTTCCGATTTCCCAAACACCTCCAAAAGAGGATTTGGCACCTTCAAAAGCTAACTTCAAAGTACCAGCAATAACTCCCTCGAGCTCCAAACGTGATCCTACAAAGTAATATAGACAAACAAAATTTTGTTCATGACAAACCAATCCTGGGATGAGATTGCACGATAACAGAACACTGGAACTTTGGATGCAATGTTGTAAGCACACCCAATACCTTATTTCTCGTACAGGAGACGCTTGGCCGAGGATTTCTTGACAGATGTCTGTGGCGAAGCCATGCTCTCAAGCGAGAAGGCTGATGGACTCTGAGCAGGTCCGTCGGAGCTTCCACTTTCAGGTCCCCTAGATCCTGAAGATTCCAGTTTTTCAACCTTCACCTTTGCCAGCGGTGACACCAACCTGGATCATTTGAAAGGAATCAGATTAATCAAAAATAAAAAAGGTCACATTGCAGCACAGTTGCAGAATAATATAGTAACCAAAACGGCTTACAGATTTGCCGACGGGGATGAAGAGGGTGTTGATGTAGATGATGTCTTGCTAATTTTACTCTGAGGAGTTCCAATCTCTTCCATGACTGTACCCGATGAAGATAATGACTTACTAACCTTACTTTTAGGAGTCCCAAACTCCTTCCCAACTTCACCCGCTGAAGGCAGAGAGGGTTGCTCACACAAACTCATTGAATCAACAATACTACCCTGCGGCAAAGATGGCCTAATTTCAGGAATTTTTTATCACCAACAAACCCCAGACGAACAGGGTCTGGTGAGCCTGCAGGAACTCCAAGGATTGGATTCTGAACTTCGAGAACAGCTGACTCAGAAGGCTGTTTGGCAGGTACAGAAGAAGCTCTTATGGTAATGGGTTGTGATAAAGTTTGAGTTCCCAAAGGCACATGACCAGCACCCCCCCCCCCCCAGCGACCAACGGACCTTGATACCAACTGTAAAATGAGACAAGATCCATCAGAAGTTTCCCAGGCAACGTGAAATAAAAACAGCTTAGAAATTCAAAAAATAACCTGAGAGGCTGGCCTGCTGACTGCCCAATCTGGAAAGTTTGATTGATGTTCTCAAACAACAGTGGTCCAGAAACCTTTGCCTTGCCCTTGGTCGAACTGGCAAACAACAAAAATAACCAGTTCTGAACTCACAACCCAAACATCAACAGGAGGTAATCGTCAGGAGACCATCAAAACACTGAAAGGGAAATTTCAAACCTTGATGGAGTAGACACAGAACTGCTCACAGGTAATGATTCAGTTGGTCCAGTCAACATAAGCACTCCACATTGTTCAATCGCGCCTTGCAAAGCAAGCTGACCCTGGGTTCCATCAGTAATTGTCTGCACTGGAGCAACAACAGTGGGTAGTAGACCCTGATTATCCTGAGGAAGCACTCGGAACACCCTGAACTCTCCAATGGATACTCCATTCGCACTCATCATAGGAAGCTTAACTTCAAACCTCACAAACTGGCCTATCAAATTACTCAGCTCAGGTGGCAGCTGGCCAGTTCTATGAGGATATCTTTGAGCAAGTGCATGGCCAGACGTGAACACCAGATTATTACCAGCTGGCCCAAAAACAATAAAAGGCACTTCTCTTGTCGAGTCACGCAAGACTAACTGAATCTTGTACCTATATAAAACAGGGAACACATTCAGAAGTCTTTATCCTAAAGCAAACCAGGCAAAGAAACATACAACGTTTGCAAAAAAGGAAACACAGTGTATACCCAATAGTAACTTGCTGGTAAGATATTTCCCAATGATCAGGACACCAATAGTTTCCATTCCTCCATGTAGAACACTTTTTCCTACACATATTACAGGAAGTATAGTACCATGGACTTCGAGACTCAACAGATCTGACAATTCCACCACAACGATGCTTCTCATCCTATTAAAATTTAAAAATAAGACACATTGGTCAAACCAAGACCAGACAAATTTGCACATAATCTGAAGCAACAGACATGATAACAAAGTGAAACATGCATACCACCGAAGCACCAGCACGGTACAAATCATGGAGTTCAAGTATGGTCCTCGTGCGACGGTTAGCATCTGCAAGAGCAGCCTCATGTGTAGCAAACTGAATGGGAAGACCTGTAACAGGATTCCGTGCTCCAGCAAAGCTACAACAGTAAAAAAAAATATTAGTAACAGAACAAAGAGCAACAAAACTTCAAAGGGCTGATCAACAAACTCACAAAGTAGTCAGACTTTAGGCCTCAGGAATGCGAGGGCTAACAACTATGCGGGTGGCAGAAGAGCTTGAACATGTGTACTCACCTTCTGCAAAACATGAACAAACAGAGGGAACATAAAAATCTCCCACGCAATGTTTAACAACCAAAATGGCAAAAAGTACAAACATTACCAATCAAACGGCCAACCATGAGGCTCCCAACCGCAATAATCACAGGCTCAATGGAATCTGCCTGAATCAAAGCAACACTGTCCAGGATCGTGGTTAATTCATTCCAAAGTGTGATCGAAACTCTCTGGCCTCTAAAACAACAAAAAAATTAAGTTAAAAAACAAACCGTGACCGAAAGGAAACCTCAAGGAGCAGGAAAAAAACATACTCAGCTTTTTCAAGGACCAAAACTTGTTTTGGAGTGGATCCATGATTGGTAAGTTGATGATCAACCCCACTGATAGACACAAAGACCAAAACATCTGATGTACAGGGCCAGAAGGAATGATAAACACAAAGAGTGAGAACAAACCAGATATAATAATAATACAACAAAATTGAAAGGAATGAAAGCAAACGCACACAGCACCTGAGAGGATGCGATTATCACCAGCACGCTTTGGGAGCTCACTGAATGGCACAGACTCAAAGGATTCGACAGGAAAATCGGCAGCAGGAAGAACATAGGCCTGAAAACTTGTGGTCTTTGACAATTCCATGATAAGATCCAAAGAGCATGCACGATAAAGATTCCTTGCTGCGGCAAGACCAAAAGCCCGAATTATGTAGATAGTCCCAACACGCAGAACACCTTCGAAAGCATTTCCCAGATAAACATCTGCAACACTCTGTATGAGCATGCCCTGCATGCAAGCATCAGAGTCCAGGGACAGCGAGTCAACACGAGAACAAAATTGGTAAAAAGGTAAAAAAAAAAACGGTTAAAGAGTTAATCTTATAGTACCGTTTGGTCCACCCAGACCCAGAGACAACAGTGATTAAATACCCTGGATCCATCAGGATTCTTCGCAAACCACATATGAAGCAGACGCAGACGAAGAATAACATCTCTGCTGGGACCCTTGAGATTGCACAACAACACCGCATCCATAATAATCCCAGGTACAGGGCAAGTACCCCATCGAAGAACCGATGCAGAACAAAAGAAGCCCCTAAACAGCAGACGGATGAGAAGAGAAACAATCAGAACAGGAAAATGTAAGCGAGAAAGCACCCATGAGGTGAGAGAAAACCGCTTAAATACTAAAGTGGAAAAACATAATGGGGAGAGGTTTTCCAAGTAGAGAGAGGCAAACAGTGACAGCCGCCCAAGCGCAGCTCATCCCTGCAATTTATGTGAAACACAATCGATAAGCACACCCAGGCGAACATTTTTGCGTTCTCAAAGGCCCCTCTCAGCTCAAATTCCAATTGGAAAAAGTGACATGACCTCGATCAATCAACCGAGTAAATCTTCTGAACACTTTCATCATGAGCGAAAACCTCAGGTTTCAGAAGGCACAGCCCCTAAAAGAACATGGCCTTGCCCCAAGCCACATGCAAAACCACTAAGCAACAAAGCCTTCCAGTCCCCCACCCATCCATGGCCCACCATCTCCGAGCCTCCCACCCACAAATCCGTCGATCACCTGCAAATTTCGGCTGAAATCCATCCAATCAAGCAACTGGACAGGCTCCAACCACCGAGAGGGTCCTGGTGACTAACGCGTTCGCTGACCACAACCGATCCAGCAGACCAAAACAGGCCGACGACCAAGTTCCATCCCAACCGACCCGCCAAACACCCGTCCGATTCCAATGAGCCCCCACCCAACGCCAGCCCACACAGCGCCAGCTTCCGGGTTATAACAGTACATCTCGGTCAGCATGAGCAGTAAAAGCAGTCTGCGTGTGCAGTACCAGGTCCTGCGGTGGGATTTCTTCTTTCAATGAATTGTGTTCAAATATATTTTATAAATCATTTGATGTTAATGGTTTTTCATATTTTATTAAACTTTTATGAATTGGCACAACCGATTGTACCGTAAGTCAAATCGCATCGCTTGCTAAGCCTTTGAAATTGTATAAACCGGTTTGACAACCTGGTCATGCCGGTTGTCAAACCGGTTAGTCAGGTCCGGTTCGGAGAGCTAATTTTCCAAAGCCCAACCTGACCCACACCTTATCCCCTTCCCCAAAATAAAACTCCCAAGAGATAAACGAAAAAATTCTTGTAGAGCTATGCAAACAGAGCAATGTCGCTCACATCCTCCCTCAATTCCCTCACCATCTCCACCCCTTTCCTCCATGGCTCCACTCCTCTGTCCCGCTTCTCCAAACCCGCTCTGCAGCTCCCTTCATCAAGGCCCTCCACATTCGTCCTCCCAATTCGGGCAATGAGGTCGATGCAGGGCCGAGTCGTCGCATCCTCCGGCAACAAGACGGTGGCGGTGGAGGTCACTCGACTCGCCCCTCATCCCAAGTACAAGAGAAGGGTCCGGAAGAAGAAGAAGTTCCAAGCCCACGACCCGGATAACCAGTTCCAGATTGGGGATTTCGTGCAGCTCGAGAAGAGCCGCCCTATTAGCAAGACTAAGACTTTCCTCGCCGTGCCCTTGCCCGTGAAGTCGAAGAAGGAGAAGAAAGCAGAAGGCGGCGAAGAGGCTAGTTCCTCCGACCTCGGGATTCCTTTGGAGTCTCAGCAACAGGAACTTCAGGCTTAGTATTGGGATGAATTGATTTCCCTTTTCTCTTGTGTTGTAAGCTGATTGCTTTGTGTAATTCTGATGATAAGATGATGCTGTGAGATTACTGTGGATTCTATGGCATTGAAATGGAACGTGTTTTGGGATGGCTTTGCGTAATTTCTACGGGATACATTGCTTTAATGATTATCAATTTTGGGTTTCAGTTGGATTGAAATTGCAGGGATTTGGGTGAGGGCCGAAGCGAGCATTTGTTTCAATGCTCATAATGCCTGCCAGATGTTTGAGGTTATGCCTCTTAGAGAAGGTCATGCCCGCATTGCAACACACATTTCTGCCGTTTGGCTAGTAATCGGAGAAGAAGGTTGACATTATGGAGTCACCCTTAGTCGTCAACACTTAGCTAACTTATCACCATCTACAGAAAATTGCCTAACTACGAGCAACACACATGGCCAAAATTATGCAGGATACAGCTAATCCGCTAGCTCGAGATGTTGTTACGAGATATGAGCCTTGTTGCTCCTTTGGTAGTTGTTTCTGTTAGTGTGCTATAGCAGTAGAAAATTTTACAGCAATTGATATATTGTCTATGCGTCTTGACTGATGACTATTTCTGTTTCCTTTGTCTTACATTTTGAGATCTTATTTAAGTCTAGCTGTTATCACTAGAGTGTAGTCCGAGGCTGTTGCGGGTGACTTGTTCATATTCTTCAAGATTCTCTAGTCGCCTTTCCCCTGCATACAGTCTCGCTTTCTCTTTTCTTGTGCTCTCTCTTGTCAGCAGTTAGCCGTTGTAACTGATATGGATTTCTTTCTCGAAATCACAGTTCAACTCCATAGTTAAAACTGACGACATTCACTTGTCAATATTGAAATTTGGTAAATTCTGTCACTGCTCAAGGTATACATTGATCATATATCAATCATAAGTTATACTGTCTCTTTTTTGGTTTACCAATTGGGTTAAACAGATTCATTGTTTATAGTATTTCTGTGTACAGCCTCCCCTAGACAACCACAACCCCTTGGTAGTTGCTGCTTCACTACTAAGGTGGTAAATCCCCTGAACTCCTATATTCGATTTCTCTGTACTGATCATACCACCTAGTAACTAAAGTACTCAACTTTATTCACATTCCAAGCTCGTCTTGATGTTCCTTAATGTGCAGGATATGAGCGCATTAACCGACTCCACGGATTCCACTGAAAGCTTGGCCGTAGGAGATGTACTTGTCAGGATTTGGAAGGCAATAGTGAGCAAAGATCCTCCGTCTGATCCCTTGTCTTCCATTGAAGTGATCACCTGTGGCCTCGAGTCGATTCCATCTGGGAGTATGGAGAATCCAGAAGGTAATATAGTTATGTTGCTTGAATCACATCCAGTAATCACGGATTGCATGCCGGGAATGTCAACTTGAGCATATACTATGGTGGATTCATAGCCATTTGTAGAGCTATCTTGGAGTATCCATGTGGTGGTCTCATTCGCTTTTGTCATCTGACGATCATCATTGTGCATCAGAAATCATATAGCACTAGGAGAAAGACATGGGAGTTAGGTCGTTAAAGAGAATTTTGAAGCAACTTGCCTGGATAGTTACTGCATTCCCTCTGTCTTGTCCTTTGGCTAAGTTGGCAATGGATTGCACTGGACCCCCATTTGACATGATATCCCACTGGTTTTAATTGCAGAAAAGTTTCTTATCAGTGAATAATCATGCTCGTGGCCAAAGTATCAACCCAACCCAAGCAACTTACTACCTCATTTCTCCTGGCTTCGTCACGTAAGAAATCGAACAACACATGAGGAGAGACCGGTAACCAAACCGAAGAAGCTGCGCACAAGATCACCCCAAATGGCTCGCCAGGGTCATTCAAGTTCTTCCTGGAGGACACCCTAATGTCCTCTCCTGTCTTGGCAGAGACCTTGTTCCACGTGTGGTAGCTCGACGCTCCTACTGCATGGCAGAAGGTCCACGTCATCCTCTGCGCCAGTCTCAGTATGCTTTTCCGCCCAGCAAATGTCGCAACACCTGTTTGACAGACAGCAATTACAAATCAGTTGCAGAAACAATAACAGTGAGGGTAGCAGCAAGCTAGTCCAGAGTTCTACCAGTCGAGTCTTTGGTAGGAACATTTGTGGCCATGAAGAAAACTATCCTTTCGCATTGAAGCTGCAGGGTGGCCGCCCAATGCTTTGCACCGAAGGCTAGCCCAGAATTCACAATGGTCCTGTAGATGGAAGAATGAACTGCTGCTGTTCTCTGGCATTCAAGATGCTCTACCCAGACAACCTGCGAAGAAGTCCAGCTCGTAACAAACACTTTTTAGTTCCGGAGTTCCCAACTCTGTTATCTCATTATCTTTTGGGCGATGCATGTACTCGATCTTACCTTGCAATGTCCATTAGATTGATCGTGAATAATGCATCCAGAGGGACGCTTCCTGCACTTGACGAGCGAAGCATCGATGTTTTGTTCGACTTTGTCGATCGAGACGTCGACAATCCCCCACTCGTACGGGCCAAGCTGCTTGCAGTATCGCACGAAGTAGACTTCCCGAGTTGGGACCATTGGTGTCAGCATCTGGAGCTCTGCAAACATCTGTAACCATTCTACAAAACATGCGCTTAGACGCTATATTTGTAACAATGAATTTCTGAATGCGACATTTTCAAGTCAGCCAAGCTCACCAGTTGGATTCCCCCATTTCTGTTGGGGCCATCTCCATTGCAGATGACATCAACAGTCGCCGCCTTTGCTACCATGCATGCAAACATCTCTTTCCATTGATTCTACACCACCACAAACAAACAACAACAGAAATGCATCGATCGTTCGAAAATTACCATGCATCTTTCAACCACCACTCAGTCACTAAAATTTCCTCATCACATTTAAACCTTACCACGTCCATGAAGCTCTGAAGCAACCGCTGAATCTCCAGAAACACAACCACGCTGCTCCTCGAAGCCTCGACGACAGCCGCCCTGCCTCTTCCACCACCAAACTCCTTGAGGTATTCATCGTAGTTCAATATCTCGCGCCCGGTCTCGATGCTCCGAACCCAGAGTGGGTCGTTGGCTGCAGCCATCTTCTTGAGCTCGTCCATGGCCTGGTTGGCCACGTCCAGCACCCTCGCCTTCTCCAGCCCGAAAACGCCCGAGTAGAAATCCAGGGACGTCGTCGTCGTGGCGGCGGAGCCCCTGCTCTTGTTGTTGTTGTTATTATGGTCTTGCTGATTGTGGCGGTCGCTGCTTCCTCCGGAACACGAGCTCGTGGCTACCGTAGTAGTAGTCCCTGCACCTGCTGCTCCGCGGCCGCCTGGTGGCGTGTGTTTCTCCACCAGAACTCGAAGCCTCTCCACCTACATGCATGCATTTGTTATACATATGTACACCGTTGTTAGATTTAACTAGTATAAAGTGTACCATGGACGCGTAGGATGGTGAAAATGATTAGATACCTCGGCTTTGAGCTTGACATTCTCGAGGCGGAGGTGTTGTTCGTCGGAGGAGGGGAGGAGGTCGGAGTTGAGGCAGCAACAGGAGGCGGCGGAGGCGATGGTTTCCCTGAGGGCCTTGTTCTCGTCGCGGAGCTTGTCGATATGGGACTTGAGCAAGGAGTTCTCGTGGCGCTCTTGGATGGCCTTGATTTGGGTGCGGCGGTTCTGGAACCAGAACTTGACCTGCCGCGGGGCCAGCCCCAGTTGCTTGCTCAGCTGCTGCCTCTGCTTCTCGTCCGGGTGTGGTGATTCTTTGAACAGCCTGCATGCATACAGAAATTATATAAACAAGCCTGGTTCATGTTAATATTTAATCGTCCGGGTGCGCCGATTTTTTGTGGCTACCCCGCACGCTTATTTAGTTAATCCGCAAGGATATGTAAACTCGTTCAAAATTGCAATGAAACTCGTTCAAAACCATGGTTGATTCCATTTATTTTTTCCATCACAAATTAAAGTTTTCGAATAATAAATTAAACAACAATTATTTCCTGATATGCAAGATATCATACGGTAGTATTATTTTTTTTTTATCACATATTAAGATGAATCAATTCAACTCGTGAAATACCTTTGAATGTTACACGAATTGGTCCGATATTACAACAAAATAAAATATAGGCAGCATCGAGATATTCACTTTCATCATGCAAATACTCACACGAATTATTTGATATAACTTGCTCTTAGCATGAAACAAACATGAATATTGAGATATCCGTATATAAGGAAATTAAAATTGAGTAAACAAAAATTGAACCAAAAAAATAATAATAATTGGAAACTGAAAGAGGGAGGAGGTTTAGAGGAGTGTACAACGTACGCTTCCATTTCTCTGATCTGTTCAGGAGTATGGCGGTGGTACTTCTTCCTCTTCTTCTTGCTCTTCATCATCGTCTTCTCCCCACCGCCGCCCCTCTCGCCGCCCTTCGCATTTCTCTCGTCGTCATCGTCATCGTCATCCTCCTCTTCGTCGTTCTCGTCATCGTGCTCCCCTACCATCTCAAACTCACCATCGCCGGCCGTCGACCTGCACGAATAAGACCTCATCATCACCACAGCCCCGGAGTTCTCACTACTTATCTCCACCGTCTCCTCTCTCCTCTTCCTCCCTCCCCCGCCGCCGCCGCTCCCTTCCTCCCCATCCTCCACCTCCGCGCTCCCTCCTCCTCCTCCTCCTCCTGCCGCCGCCGCCGCCGCATTCCCCCCTCGAAATATCCCAGCCTAAAACAAACACAACAGAACAGTTAGCATGTATAAAAACAAGATTGCGTGCAGAATTAAGAGGGTAGTACGTACGAGGCTGAGGGAGAGAGCTGGGGAGGCGAAGAGGTCTTTGGTACGAGAAGAGACGTTGGAGGCAGATACTTGATTCTCATTATTGTTATTAGACATCATATCATGTCAAATTGTCAATCTGTCTATCAATCCCATGCCAAGTTAGAAGCCTCTGGTCTCGTATATAATGTAATAGTATATATTTATATATACACAACTCTTGCTATCTCTCTCTATAATCTGCTCATAATGATGATAATAAATCACAATAAATGAGAAATTTATTATGGCGATCGAGAAGAGAAGAAAGGAAAAGCAAAAACAGAAAGGAGCTAGATGAAGAGGGGAGGGGAGGGGAGGAGGAAGGTAGCAACAATGGCTTTTTGTTTTCAGGTGGGCCTGGTTTTGAGACTTGAGAGAGAGAGAGGAGTTAAGGACAAGGGTACAAAAAACAAAATTATATGAAAACTGAGAGAGAGAGAGAGAGAGAGAGAGAGAGAGAGAGAGAGAGAGAGAGAGAGAGAGAGAGAGAGAGAGAGAGAGAGAGAGAGAGAGAGAGGGATTTTCAAAAGGGAGGCTGGTAGGAGTTGACTGTTAGATATAATTCTTTTTTTCTCAGTGTGGAAGTCTGCACACTCTTCCCAACTAACTCCTTATGCATTGCATACATTTCCCTTATACATACAGACAGTATTCTGTCTAATTGGATACTTACTTGCCTAGCTTTGCTCTACAAAAGAATTCTAGGATTACAAGTTCTTACATAGTTACATGAATTTTTTTTTTTTTTTTTTTAGAGATAGATGGTGCCAAGGATATACATCCGATACTAGTACTCAATTTCATGGAAAATTGATAGTTTGGGGGAGAGCATAACTATATATATAATATATATATATATAACCCTATAGTGATGATGATTGTTGATGAGAGGATCTCTTCAAATTATAATTAGGCTACAGCAGTTGAAGCGCGGGAGAGGATAACGCGTCAGTTTACATCTTTCTATTGAATTTAATTTGTCATCACGTATAACAAATTTTCTCAGGAACCGTCCACCATGAATTATGTCGTTGAAACGCTTACATACATATTAAAGAATTGTGATATGTTAGTTTAATGCAAGATCCTCCATTTCCTTTTTTCCGTATAGCAAATAGATCCTTTCGAAATTAAAAATTAGTCAAGTCAAGTCTATAATAAGTAGTTGAAAAAGAGTGGATTGTTTAAACAGATGGATTTGGATGAAAGATTTGGAATTGAGAGATAATCAAAATCTTACTCCCCTCTCATTCATAAGAAGTTCCGAAATCAGCTTTTGTGAAATATTAAAAATCTCCAGGCAATTTGAATCCGTCTAGAAATGATCACTCTTTACACATTTAACAAACTATTCCCGACAACAAATTGTTGGTGCATGAGTGATTAGCTTAATTAATCATCACTAAGAGAATCACCTGTATCATCATCTTAGAGGGGTTAGCCTTGAAAAGCATTAATTTGGCCATTACTTGACTGAATGCTCATAATGATTTGGATGAAATTTGATAATTTATGAATGCATACTATATAACCTTGGTGATGACCATTGATTATAGAATCTCGTAAAAATCTCTGGCTATGATGTATGATATACCTGAAAAGGTATTTCTGCGTCTTGCTGGGGCTGGTTTCCGAGTTAGAGCATAAAATGAAGGGGACGGCCCTAACTAATGTTGTGCCACTGGCGTTTTTGCAATATCCTCCCGACCTGTGCTCTGAAAAGATCATGCATGAGATGAAGCTCGTGTATCTGTTTATCTATCAATGGAAAGATCTCCGCGCGTGGCGTAATAAGGAATCCTAGAAAAGATCGATTCAGATTCCCTCCCCGGCTGAAAGAGCTGCTCGAAAGCTTGACGAACAAGCGAGAAGATCACCAAGATTTCGTGATCCGCTGCCGAACTTATTCCAATTCCAACCGGTCACATACGACATTTCCTGCTGCCTTCAAAAGCTATAGAAATCGATCCATTGTTCATTCGAATGAATAGTAGTAAGATTAGGAACCCCAACTACTTTCTAGGCATTTTCGGGCTATGCGCTGTGCCCTGGGTTGAAAAGCCAGGTAGAGACTAGCCGATCAAACTCGTCACTAGATGACTATATGATATGAAATTTCTTTTCTTGTCCGTCCTTGAAAGAGAGATGTCCTGAACCACTAGACGATAGGGGCATATTTGCCCGAAATCTCTTTTCCACAAGCAATTGTGAGGTTCCTTCTGTACGAGCTTTCTTAGAGTTGGCAAATGGATTGAATTCATGAATTGGTTGATTGGATTGGTGAATCCATAGATCAAATGGATCGGTGGATTCATAGATTGGATCAAGTGGATTGGTGGATTATCCATGAATTCAAATGACATCTTCAACCTTGGACCAATATGTAAAATCTGAAAAGTTTAGGTACTAAAATGTCACAATGAAAAAATTTAGGTACCAAAATATAATTTTTCAATGATTTTTTTTTGTATAAAAAATTAAATTTTAGGTATCAAAATATAAAAAATCTAGGTACTAAACCATAATTCGCTATTTGGATCCATGGATCAATCCATGAATCCACCAATCCAATTGGATTTGGATCAAATTGATTGGATTTAAATGAATTGGATTAGCTGGATATTTTTAATAGATTGGTGGATTGGATTGAGAATTGTCACCTCTACTTAAAATGATAATTATGCTATAGCAGTTGAAGCAGGAGAGTATACCGTCTCAGTTTTATATCTTTTATTGTATTGGATTTATCTTCACGTATAATAAACTCTCTCAACAACGGCTGCATTAAGTTAGGGCGTTGAAACGCTTGCATGCATATTAAAGAAGCGTGATCTTTTGGTTTAAATGCAAGATTCTCTATTTCTTTTCCCCCGCATCAAGTTGAGCGAGTTTAGATTTGCTATAGTTATGAAGTTAGAGGATTGTTAATCTTGAATTCAAGTGTCTAATAATTCATGAATGATATATTGTTAAGATCACAAAATTGTTGCAAATATTTATATGTTCATCTAAAATGAGTCTACTATTAAAATGGGTAAGATATCATGTTATGATTTAATTATAGACTCATCGTAGTTATGAAGTTCGGGGATTTTTTACTAGGATTTAAAATGGGATGCACATAATTTTCCCTTTATACATACCGTATTCTCAATTCTGTCTAATTGGATACTTGGCCGGATTTACTCTTCAAAGAATTATAGGCTTTTAAGTTCTTACATGAATTTTTTGAGAAGACAGATGGTGTCGCGGATATATACATCCGACTACTTAGTTTCATGGAAATTTGATTGTTTGGGAGAGTATGGTTACTTTTTATGCTTAGCCACGCTTAGGTGCAAAGCAATGACAAAATGTCTCGCCTTAAGATTTCACGCTTAATTAGATACTGGAACATGTCAATGGAGTAAGACGACATAATAGTCTCTTCTAAACATAAGTAGATGGCGCTAGAAAGTCAATATTAAAGTAGAAAATTAACGTCAACTACGAAATCAATTTTATATATCAATATATTCAATAGGTCACGAAATTTGTGAGCTATAGAGCTATGATTCTATGAATTCTTGAGCTATGTTCTTGTCATTAGGTGTTGAGTAAGTTATTAATAATTTTAACTGAAGTGAGGAAATGTTGTAGATTATTATTTCATTCATCATGCAATGTGAATAACTTTTTTTTTCTTCGAACGCCTAGGCGCTAGGCAAAGCCTCAACGCCCGCCTTACGCCTAGCGCCTTTTTGAACCTTGCTATAACCCTATAGTGATGATGACTGTTGATGAGAGAATCCTTAAAATGATCATTAGGCTATAGCAGTTGGAGCGCACGAGAGTATACCGCGTCAGTTTACATCTTTTTATTGAACTTGATTTGTCATCACGTATAACAAATTTTCTCAGAAACCGCTACCATGAATTAGGTCGTTGAAACGCTTGCATGCATATTGAAAAAATGTGATCTTCTGATTTAAATGTAGGATCTTCCATTTTGTTTTTCCCGCGTTTTATAAAATAGCTTTTCCTTCTCTTGTATAGATGATTCAATGTTTTAAATTATGCCACGGTTTGGATACCAAGTTGGGGGTTCGGATTTGCTATAATTATGAAGCAGAGGACTGCCAATCTTAAATTCAAGTGTCTAATAGTTACTTGATGGTAGATTATTAATATAACAAGATTGTTGCAAATACATCCATCATCTAAAATGAGTAGACTATTAAAATCGTTGGATATCATGGTATGATCATTTAATTAGATTCATCTTAATTATGAAGTTAAGAAGATTGTCGATCTAGAATTTAAGTCTCTAAGAGGTTGTTAATTGAGAAATTATTAATATAAATAGATTGGGAAAAATTGGCATATTACTCAAATGCACTGGATATGGCGCTATGATTTAGACTCATAGTTATTGTAAAGATTAGAGGGTCTGTCAATCTAAATTTATTCAAGTCTCTCTAAGAAGTTGTTGAAATCTAATTAATCTAAAGGATATAATAAGCATTTTCCCAAATAAGACTTCTCTGATTCGAATTTCTCCTTCCCGCACGCATCCACGTTCAAGTCATTTCAACAAAAGAAAAAAGAACCAACAAAAAAAAAATCATCCCTCCGCTTCCTCCATTTTCGGATTTGTTTTTCTTTTGCAATTTCAATTTACTTTGACTTTTGTTTTTCTGTAAGGAAACATCTTTTAGATATATCATAAGAGTTACATTTGTTACCATCTAAAACTATTGCTATCATATATTATATGCTGTTAAACTATATATAAATATGCCACCGTGTTTATAATAAAAATAATAATAAATAAAGAGTTATATTTAATATGCACTATCAAGTTGTAGTGTATATTGCATAATATAAGTAATTTGAGTATGTTGGGTGAGGTTCATTCCAAATATTTTAAGCACTAGCTAGCTGCACGTTAGTCTAAATTTCGAAAATTATGGAATGACATATATTGTTTAGATATTTATTTTCAGTGTTTCATGCATTGAGATTTCATGAACCCACATTTGGAAGAAAAAAAATCTAAACCTTTATCTCCACATCGTGTTTAGATATTTATTTTCAGTGTTTCATGCATCGAGATTTCATGAACCCACATTTGGAAGAAAAAAAAATCTAAACCTTTATCTCCACATGATTCAAGATTGGATAAATAAACCATTATGAGATCGATGATGAAAAAAAAACTTAAATATTATAAC